GATGACTTGTAGCCTCTCCCAGATGCGATCACGACACGTCACGGGCACGATATTAATCTCTAACTTCAGATGGTCGCTGGAAGCCCTACACGCGACACTACAACGCCTCAAACTTCGCTGACCAGGCAATCAGCTTCGTCTGCCTCGACTACAGCGGAACTGTCTCCAACAACCCCGCTTACGCTCAGCGCCAGGACATCAACTTCCCCGACATCAACATGTGTCAGGACGGCATCCGCCTCCAGGTCTTCTTCCCCCAGTGCTGGGATGGCGTCAACCTCGACAGCTCCGACCACAAGTCACACATGGCCTATCCCGTCGACACCTACGACGGTGGCCACTGTCCCGAGTCGCACCCAGTCCACACCGTCGCGATATTCTACGAGCAGATTGTGCCGGTCAGCAACTTCAACTACTGGGGCCAGGGAGCCTACGCCCTGTCCACCGGCGACCCGACTGGTCTGACGTACCACGCGGACTTCCTGATGGGATGGAATCAGTCTGTGCTGCAGGACTCGGTCGACAACTGCCACAACATGAACGGTGACATCACTCTGTGCCAGGTACTTGTACCGTACATCAATGAGGACGCCGCGTCAGCATGCACTCTGGATGCCCAAGTCGTTGACGAGGATGTCGGACTCGGCGACCAGATCTCGGCGCTTCCTGGATGCAACCCCGTGCGGACGGACTTCTCTACGGAGGCGAGCTGCCCTAACTCGGTCACGCCCGGGTTCTTCAACCCTGTGGCGACACTCACTCCGGGATGGACGGACGTTGGCTGCATCGCTGAGGGCACGAATGGGCGTGCACTGACGGGCGCGTCGACGACATCACCGAACATGACTGTGAACTTCTGTGCGGGCTTCTGTGGAAGCAAGGGATATACATATGCGGGCGTCGAGTTTGGTGACGAGTGCTACTGCGGGAGCTCGTTTTCGAATGGAGCGAATGGGAGCGTGACGAACTGGTACGATTGCAGCACTCCCTGTGCGGGTAACCAGGAGTTCGAGAAATGCGGTGGCCCGCAGATGCTCGAGATCCTTCAGTTTGGCGGCCCCGCGGCATCATCCGGCAACGCCTCCATGTCTACATCTATCCCTAGTTCTCCAGCTGCGTCGGTCAGCACGTCTCTATCCACCCCCACTTCCTCCGCTGTCTCTGCAAACTCATCTGCGTCTTCCCTCGCTTCCTCCACTGCTGCCGCTAGCATTTCTGGCTCCGCCTCGGCTTCACCCGCACCTGCCTCGGCTTCAGCTTCGGCCTCCGCTAACACCACAACTACGACGTCAAAGAAGCGTTCTAAGCACTTCGGCCGGCAACAGCACCACCGCTCCCATCGCCTCTAATTCCTTTCTGCGACACCTTCACATCTCACTCTCACCCGTGTCTATCATTCCCTCACGAAAGTGCGAGTCACTTTCCTGTCATGTCCGCATCAGCATTCGTTCACTCTGCTATCTTTACACCTGCTGTCGTTTCTCCCCTCGCCTCTGTGATTCTATGTGCGCGGCTCGGACCGCGTCATCTCTCGCGTTCTAGGTGACACTTACTGAGTAGACCTGTAGTACTGGATTGCTTCGCCTAGAGTCTCTGTGCTTTTCTCGTAATTCGTTGTATCATACGCGCTAGGTCCTCGCGTCATTCAATGGCTGTATCTCCGGATGCATTGTGGTGTGGTAGGCTTGTTCCGCTACAAATCAGTTTTTTCAACGTTACTTCTCGTCCGTCCATCACCACAGCGAGAGATCATGAATGAGTAGTAACGTAGGGACTCAGGCTGCGGATGATGTGCTGACAGTGGCCACCTGATCGCCTTTCTCCGCGTGAAGACATGTGCTGCTCCACAAACCTGTATCACATAGTCGGGTCTTCGTCTTCCCGAAAATCTGCGAAGATTTGGCATCAGCCCTGAGGCCTGAGGCCTAAGCGGTGAGCGGTCACAATGCGGAATACGCATGTCAGATGCTTTGAAACGTAGATGAATTTGTATTATACACCGCTAATCCCACACTGTACGCGATCAACTGTCGTCCCCCTTTTCCTGCGAGAGTTCATCTACACTTTCCTGCTCCAGCGCAACCACCTTTGCCACAGGTCCATCATACACATCGTGTGCATGTACGACATAAGTCACCGCTGCCAGGCCCATGATGGCACCAAAGATGACGATAGCCCAGTTCATGCTCACCGGCTGGACGTGCTTCACCGGCGGCCAGAATGACCAGAAGAACGACCAAAGCGAGTACGTGAGCCCGACACCATTCACAACCACACCATACCGCCCGAAGCTGCCTCCGAGCTTGCCCGTGTCGTCCTTTACGAACGTCCACCGCGCATGGACGAGCGGCTCGCCACGCAAGCGCTTGAGTAGGACACACGCGATGCTGATACTGTACGTCGCCATGAGCGCGACGACACCGATGCTGAGGATCGCGTCGAATGCGGCCGTCGAGCCGATGTTGATGAGGCTCAGCACAGTCGCAAACGCGACGTTGACGCCGATCGCGTTCGCAGGGACCTTGTACCGCGGGTGTACCGCGCCGATGAATCGCGCAAACGGCAGGCCGTGGTCCCGAGCGAATGCGAATGTCTGGCGTGATGTGCTCGCCTGCGCGGACGCACCGATGAACATGACGAGGGCGAGCGTGACGAAGGTGAGACCGATTGCGCCGCCAGGCGTGCGCGCCATCCGGCTGTACATGTCGATAACTGGGAAGCCCGTCGCGCTGTCGATCGCGGACGCGGTGTCGCCCAGGCAGAAGCAGAACGTAGCAAGAACGATGAGCGTCGGTGGGATGTTAGCGAGAAAGCTCCACCACATTGACTGTGGCACGACCTTGCTGGCGTCTTGGATCTCCTCAGCCATGTGCACCGCCCCGTCGGAGCCTACGAGCGTGAACATCGCGGTAACTTGACCAACGAGTGTAGCAACGGCAGGTCCCCAACCGGTCCCGTTGTCTTGGAACTCGAGCAATGCGGCCCGAGCTGATTGCTTTTCGGGTGCTAGCACCCACATTGCGACGACTAGTGGGATGAATACGAGGTAATGCAAGAACGCGAATATGCCCTCCAGTGTAGCAAGCCACGGAGCGGCAAACGTATTATAAGATCCTGATAAGATGTCAGACGTCACATAGTTATAAAAGATAGGGAATCCTGTCAGACTTACCGAAGGAGACTGCGAAACCGATAGTTATGAGGGTCGTGTGCCATCGCTCAGGGACATAGTCAGGATTATTTAGGATAATCATGGCTTGCACAATCTGTGCACAGAGAAAGCATGTGACGGATACCATGGAGTTCCAAGCTAGTGTGCTCAGCCATCCCGAGGTGTAGCTCAAAATCTTCTGGTATTTGTGAGGTGCAAACTCCGAGACCTGTAGTAACTGATTAAAGTTTGACTCGTTCCAGCTATGAGACACGCACCCAGTGATATTGTCCCCCCGCCGTTGGTGCCATACTCGACATCTCAGCTAGCGATAAGACGACGAACGCCTGCCCGACGTAACTCCAGATCGTGGACCAGAACAGGCCGGCCGTGCCGCCTGCGACGAGCGCGGGAGTAGAGGTGGTAATGATGAGCTCCCAAGTGCCCATTACACAAGATGTGAAGGCGATAGAGGTGATGATACGGAAACTGCGGGTGAATTCCTGTTTCTTGCCCATGCGCCTCATGTCCCGCTGGTCGTTGGTACTGGCTTGTACGATGGTGTCCGGGAGGTCATTGTACTCAACCGTCGTCCTGAGGTATTCCTTGTCCACGTCTGACATCGCAGCCAACGCTATGCGGTCAGTGAAGATAAGGGTGGGTGAAGGGACAAGTTTTTCGTCCTTCGGCTAGCCATGAGATAAGTACGTGGGACACTCAGGCTCGATGAATCTCAGGGTTGCATTGGTACGCGAGACAGAACTTGGGCGGACTTCCTTCTGAGACACGTTACTTAAGCACATGACCAGATTAGAGCGTTACCTCCACAGTCGACAACTTCGTAATGCTCGACATTATTCAATGGTGATGCCGAGCCGAGCTCGACTGTTGGTGATGGCAACTGCTGAAAGCGCCTGAGCAAAGTCAATAGATTATGGATTATTTGATACGGCGTTAACAGGGCTCGTCGCACCGCTGACCCTGCAGTCTTGGTTGCCGAACATCGTGGTTGAACAGGAGGAATGCGCGCCTATCAGTGTCTCCGTGGCGTTCTTGATGCGCTGATGCGCTTGTCATCCCGACGCCGACACTTCAGGCAGGACATGCCATCTCCCGCTACCGAAAATTCAGAGTCCTCTGATAACTGTAGCGTTCCGGATAAGAGAGCATACAGCCTCAAGAATTGCCAGGGGTGTCGGTTTGAGCGATGTTGATACCATTATTACCGGAGCCGCACAGCGGGCCATATTATGTAGTATTTAGCGCCCACTTTTATGCTCCGCTTACGGCGAAAATATGTATAAGGCTCCAATGTCGAGTGTTGAGCTAGAATGCATTGGATTGTTGCTCCCCGGCTGCTCTAAGATCCAGCCGTGACAAGCCTGACTGTTGAGCCAGCTAAGACTTACTGTGCACCTCCCAACCTTGACATTCTCAGCGAGGCTCTAGAAGCATACATGTACGAGACTGCTCTAACCACTCAGACACCCGTTGAAGCTTATAGTATATGCCTTGATTAATAGAGTATCTGTCAACACATCCCACCGACTGAACACATTGCGCGCGAGTTCAGCACGAAATGAGTTATCCGCGTGACTCACGTGCTCTGTCGCACGGTGACTACAGTAGTCGTGGATGCCCTGGGACTACCTTCAAATGCAAATAAAATTGTATTATATACTACTAATCCCCAGCTAACCCTATACGCGTACGCGATCAAATATCGTCACCCTTTCCCCCCGAAAGCTCGTCTACACTCTCCTGCTCTAGCGTGACCACTTTTGCTACAGGCCCATCGTACACACGGTGCGCATGTACAATGTAGGTCACCGCTGCCAGGCCCATGATGCCGCCAAAGATGACGACGGCCCAGTTCATGCTCACCGGCTGGACGTGCTTCACCGGCGGCCAGAATGACCAGAAGAACGACCAGAGCGAAAATGCGAGCCCAATACCGTTCACGACCACGCCATACCGCCCGAAGCTGCCGCCGTGCCCGCTCGCGCCGTCCTTGATGAAGGTCCACCGCGCGTGGGCGAGCGGCTCACCACGCAGGCGCTTGAGCAGGACGCATGCGATGCTGATACTGTAAGTTGCCATGAGTGCGATAACGCCGACACTGAGGAGCGCGTTGAATGCGGTGGTCGAGCCGATGTTGATGAGGCTCAGCACGGTCGCGAACAAAACGTTGGCGCCGATCGCGTTCACGGGGACCTTGTACCGCGGGTGCACGGCACCGATGAACCGCGCAAACGGCAGGCCGTGGTCCCGCGCAAATGCGAATGTCTGACGCGATGTGCTCGCCTGTGTAGACGCGCAGATGATGGCGAGGAGCATGAGTGTGACAAAGGTGAGGCCGATTGCGCCGCCAGGCGTGCGCGCCATCCGGCTGTACATGTCAATGACCGGAAAGCCTGTCGCGCTATCGATTGCGGACGCGGTGTCGCCCAGGCAGAAGCAGAACGCGACGAGTACGATGAGCGTCGGTGGGACGTTGGCGAGAAAGCTCCACCACATTGACTGCGGAACGACTTTGCTCGCGTCTCGTATCTCTTCAGCCATGTGCACTGCCCCATCGGAGCCTACGATTGTGTATATCGCGGTGACCTGGCCAACGAGCGTAGCGACTGCAGGTCCCCAACCGGTCCCGTTATCTTGGAACTCGAGCAGTGCGACCCGAGCTGATTGCTTCTCAGGTGCTAGTACCCACATTGCGACAACTAGAGGGATGAATACGAGGTAATGCAAGAACGCGAATATGCCCTCCAGTGTGGCAAGCCACGGGGCGGCAAATATATTGAACGATCCTGAGAAGATTATGTTTAAGCCAGATGGCCGTAAGAGATGGAACATGTCGTTAGACTTACCGAAGGAAGTCGCGAAACTAATAGTTATAAGGGTCGTGTGCCATCGCTCAGGGACATAGTTAGGGTTGTTCAGGATAATCATGGCTTGCACAATCTGTGCACAGAGAAAGCATGCGGTGGACACCATGGAGTTCCAGGCCAGTGTGCTCAGCCATCCCGAGGTGTAGCTCAAAATCTTCTGGTATTTGCGAGGTGCAAACTCCGAGACCTGTCGTAACCTAATTAGCGTTGAAGTCGTTTCAGCTATGACAGATACGCACCCAGTGATATTGCCCACCTGCCGTTGGTGCCATGCTCGACATCTCAGCTAGCGATAAGACGATGAAGGTCTGCCCGACGTAACTCCATATAATCGACCAGAACAGGCCGGCCGTGCCGCCTGCGACGAGTGCTGGAGTAGAGGTGGCGATGAGGATCTCCCAAGTGCCCATTACACAGGACGTGAAGGCGATGGAAGTGATGATACGGAAGTTGCGAGAGAACTCCTGTTCTTTGCCCATGCGCTTCATGTCCCGCTGGTCATTGGCACTAGCTTGTGCGATGGTGTCCAGGAGGTCATTGTACTCAACCGTCATCCTGAGGCTCTCCTTGCCCATTTCTGACATTATAGTCAACGCTGTGCAGTCCGTAAGAATAGGGGTGAGTAGAAGCGCAAGTCCTGCATTCTTCGGCTGGCCGTATCCATGAGATAAGCTTAAGTACTTGCAGATACGTGGGACATTCAGGCCCCATGGATCTCAGGCTCACGTGGATCCGTGATTCGGAGCTGCAAATGAACTTCTATCTGAGATATAACACCGAAGCACATAACCAGGTTGAAGCATCACCTTCACAGACAACGGCCTCGTAACAGTCGACGCTATTCTGTGACAAGGCCGAGCCGAGTTCAACTGATGGCAGTAGCAGTTTGTGAATGCGCCTGAGAAATGTCTATGAATTGTGAATTGTTGATATGGCTTAAGTTTATACTAAAAGGGCTCATCGCATTGTTAACTCTGCAGTTTTAGTTGCCGAAGATCGCGGTTGAGCGCAAGACGTATGCGCGCCCATTGCCGCCTCCGTGGCGTTCTTCATACGCTGATGCGCTTGACATCCCGATACTGACACTTCGGAGTGGTTAGCAGCTCTCACCCGACAGCCACAGCTCCGATTACCACTGATCCTACCTTCTCCCTTTCGCTATACCGGAAACAAGATTTAGGTGCTTGCTCAATATTCCAGAGTTGCAGCCGTTCCAACTTGAAAACGACTCGGATAGACACCCCCGGGTAAATAAATTCGAATCAGCTCCTCCGCTGAGGTGCGACTTTTCGAGTCAAAGGTTCAGAGTGATAGCAGGGCTATGAGAATACCGCATAAACGGCCGCCGTCGCGAGGCGACGACGGCCTAATTCGATTCCGCAGCGAGCGGGACGCTTTCCGTGTATGGCGCAACGATACAGAAAACACAGAACAGCAAGAAACATAGGGCGGGAACGGGAGGGAAAGCGCAAGAAAATGGACTCGAAGCCTAACGCAGATGGAGGTCAGACCTGGCGAGGCATGACAGAAATGCTAGCACGAACCTAACGCAGATGGAGGTCAGACGGGGACGAGGCGTGCAGCCCCTGTCCCTCGCGGCTGCACCTATATACCCATCTGCGGTCAGGGAGGATCCCAGTTAGGTACGCCCACTGCTGACAAAGCATCGGCGACGTACCTAACACTCCCTGAGCAGGTCCGTGTTTCGTCCGCTGTTTGGACTCATCCTGGCTGC